AAAGAAATAACTTACAAAATACTGATCATGTTGGCCTCAGAGGCCATAAAAGTTACTCAGAAAAAGAAAAATTGAAAAATAATTGAAAATAGTACATAAAAAAGTAAATAGAAAAATACCGGGTGACGGCAGTTGGCGATGTTACCAAATGTTGTTCAATTTTGGCAAACATCACGCCTCCATATCTCGGTAAGTATTGACGGTAAAAATTTTTTGTTTAGCCTATAATATTTAGAAAAAAAAAATTTTTTCATAAGAAAAATTTTTTTTTTTTTTTTTTGAAATTTGACCGACCCTGAGAACGAGTTTCGGAGGGTTAATTGAGGGTCAAAGGGTTAATTGAGCTATGTGTAGAAAGAGATTTGGTAATAAGAAATACATATTTTATGAAGAAGAGGATAAATAAATATATAAGGTATGATGTAGCACGTAATGAAAGTAGTTTATTAGATTATATATTGGTGGATAAAAGGTTGATGGGTAGGCTCCAGGATGTACATGTTTATAGAGGGGCAACTGATATATCAGATCATTATTTAGTTGTAGCTACAGTTAGAGTAAGAGGTAGATGGGAAAAGAGGAAGGTGGCAACAACAAGTAAGAGGAAGGTGGCAACAACAAGTAAGAGGAAGATGTGGCAACAACAAGTAAGAGGAAGGTGAAAGTGTATAAACTAAGGGAGGAGGAAGTTCGGGTGAGATATATGCGACTATTGGCAGAAAGGTGGGTTAGAGCAAAGATGAGCAGTGGGGGGGGTTGAAGAGGGTTGGAATAGTTTTAAAAATGCAGTATTAGAATGTGGGGCAGAAGTTTGTGGTTATAGGAGGGTGGGGGCAGGAGGAAAGAAGAGTGATTGGTGGAATGATGAAGTAAAGGGTGTGATAAAAGAGAAAAAGGTAGCTTATGAGAGGTTTTTACAAAGCAAAAGTGTTATAAGAAGAGCAGAGTATATGGAGAGTAAAAGAAAGGTGAAGAGAGTGGTGAGAGAGTGCAAAAGGAGAGCAGATGATAGAGTGGGAGAGGCACTGTCAAGAAATTTTAATGAAAATAAGAAAAAATTTTTGAGTGAGTTAAACAAGTTAAGAAAACCTAGGGAAAGTATGGATTTGTCAGTTTAAAAACAGAGTAGGGGAGTTAGTAGATGGGAGATGGAGGTATTAGGTAGATGGCGAGAATATTTTGAGGAACTTTTAAATGTTAAGGAAGAAAGAGAGGCGGTAATTTCATGCACTGGTCAGGGAGGTATACCATCTTTTAGGAGGGAAGAAGAGCAGAATGTAAGTGTGGGGGAGGTACGTGAGGCATTACGTAGAATGAAAGGGGGTAAAGCAGCTGGAACTGATGGGATCATGACAGAAATGTTAAAAGCAGGGGGGGATATAGTGTTGGAGTGGTTGGTACTTTTGTTTAATAAATGTATGAAAGAGGGGAAGGTACCTAGGGATTGGCAGAGAGCATGTATAGTCCCTTTAAATAAAGGGAAAGGGGACAAGAGAGATTGTAAAAATTATAGAGGAATAAATTTACTGAGTATACCACGAAAAGTGTACGGTAGGGTTATAATTGAAAGAATTAGAGGTAAGACAGAATGTAGGATTGCAGATGAGCAAGAAGGTTTCAGAGTGGGTAGGGGATGTGTAGATCAAGTGTTTACATTGAAGCATATATGTGAACAGTATTTAGATAAAGGTAGGGAAGTTTTTATTGCATTTATAGATTTAGAAAAGGCATATGATAGAGTGGATAGAGAAGCAATGTGGCAGATGTTGCAAGTATATGGAATAGGTGGTAAGTTATTAAATGCTGTAAAGAGTTTTTATGAGGATAGTGAGGCTCAGGTTAGGGTGTGTAGAAGAGAGGGAGACTACTTCCCGGTAAAAGTAGGTCTTAAGACAAGGATGTGTAATGTCACCATGGTTGTTTAATATATTTATAGATGGAGTTGTAAGGTAAGTAAATGCTAGGGTGCTCAGGAGAGGGGTGGGATTAAATTTTGGGGAATCAAATTCAAAATGGGAATTGACACAGTTACTTTTTACTGATGATACTGTGCTTATGGGAGATTCTAAAGAAAAATGGCAAAGGTTAGTGGATGAGTTTTGGGAATGTGTGTAAAGGTAGGAAGTTGAAAGTGAACATAGAAAAGAGTAAGGTGATGAGGGTATCAAATGATTTAGATAAAAGAAAAATTGGATATCAAATTGGGGAGGAGGTGTATGAAAGAAGTGAATGTTTTCAGATACTTGGGAGTTGATGTGTCGGCGGATGGATTTATGAAGGATGAGGTTAATCATAGAATTGATGAGGGTAAAAAGATGAGTGGTGCGTTGAGGTATATGTGGAGTCAAAACACGTTATCTATGGAGGCAAAGAAGGGATGTATGAAAGTACAGTAGTACAACACTCTTATATGGGTGTGAAGCTTGGGTGGTAAATGCAGCAGCAAGGAGACGGTTGGAGGCAGTGGAGATGTCCTGTTTAAGGGCAATGTATGGTGTAAATATTATGCAGAAAATTCAGAGTGTGGAAATTAGGAAAAGGTGTGGAGTTAATAAAAGTATTAGTCAGAGGGCAGAAGAGGGGTTGTTGAGGTGGTTTGGTCATTTAGAGAGAATGGATCGAAGTAGAATGACATGGAAAGCATATAAATCTATAGGGGAAAGTAGGCGGGGTAGGGGTCGTCCTCGAAAGGGTTGGAGAGAGGGGGGTAAAGGAGGTTTTGTGGGCGAGGGGCTTGGACTTCCAGCAAGCGTGCGTGAGCGTGTTAGATAGGAGTGAATGGAGACGAATGGTACTTGGGACCTGACGATCTGTTGGAGTGTGAGCAGGGTAATATTTAGTGAAGGGATTCAGGGAAACCGGTTATTTTCATATAGTCGGACTTGAGTCCTGGAAATGGGAAGTACAATGCCTGCACTTTAAAGGAGGGGTTTGAGATATTGGCAGTTTGGAGGGGAATGTTGTGTATCTTTATATGTATATGCTTCTAAAGTGTTGTATCCTGAGCACCTCTGCAAAAACAGTGATAATGTGTGAGTGTGGTGAAAGTGTTGAATGATGATGAAAGTATTTTCTTTTTGGGATTTTCTTCTTTGTTGGGTCACCCTGCCTTGGTGGGAGACGGCCGACTTGTTGAAAAAAAAAAAAATGACTTGGCTCACCCTGCCTTGACAGAAGAAAATTAGCACATGACAATTTTAATATAAATATGTAAAGGATGAAACAAAAATCTTGTGAACATCAGAAGATCAAAATAACTGTAAAAGCCTGAACGAAGATATATACAAGTTGAGCAGAGATCAATAATGAAGGATGGTAGTAGCAAAGTACTGGAAATGGGTGAAACTGAAAATGCATCTCAAAGATTACATGTGATAATATGACAGATACTGAACAGAGAGAAAGATCTGTGGTGTTTACAAACTACTGTACAAGTTACCACCAAAAACTGCATTAATGCTATCAAAATATATGCATGTTAAAAAATTAATATTCTAAACTAAACTGGCATATGCAGCTGTAGTATAACATCCCCATTTACATAAAAGACATGCAAAGGAGAAAAGGTTCAGACACATATATTAAAATGGATTCCAGAGAAAAATTATAAAGAACGACTGGAGGTATGTAAACAAAGGAAATTTATAGGGAACATAGAAACAAGATGATGAAAGTAGCACTAACTCTTAGAAATGAAAGATTTAAATATCAGACAGGCGAGAGGGACTATGGAGAAAGAAAGTGTATTTAGATATTTGGGGATGGACTTGTTGGCAGAAGGGTCTATGAAAATAAGATGAACTATAGAATAGACAAGAGAGATAAAAGATGGGTAGTGTGTTGAGGAGTCTGAAATTAAGAATTTTTTTTATGGAAAAAGGTACCAATGTAGTGGCACAAACACTGTCTCCAGCATTATAACTACCTGTATTTGACTGAAGAAGCCTGCAGTGCAAGAAAAACATTTTGACATTAAAAATATCTGTCTGTTACCCATCAACTGTCAGTATTGTATACCAATTAAATGGTACTTATCTGACAGCAACACAATGGTATCTTGGTACAGGCAATGTTTTCTCCAACTCTGTTGCTAACAACTGTTCAGTATGACCTACTTCCACTACTACTTCTGCTCACCTGTGATGTTATCTCCAGTTGCTACATCTCGTTTCTAGTTCCAGTGCAAGTCTCTAGTCTCGTGTGTCTGCTTCAGCCTAAGGAACTGACTACCTATTAAGGCTAAGGGACTTATATCCTCAAAATTACCTCTCCACTACTTCTAATGTCTCCAGTGTCAATCACCTGTATTTGCCTGAAGAAGCCTGCTGTAGAGGGGAACTGTTTTGACAAAATTTGCATACGTCTTACTCGTCTGTGAGTGAACCATGCAAATAAGAAAACTGCCAATGAGTCCAAAGATCAAATATGGAGATTACGAGAACCAAAAATAGCTCACACTGAAAATGAAACACTACTCTGCTTGATTATGACCAGCTTATAAGTGGGTTCACTAAAGTCAAACCTACCATGAAAAGAAGTCTGATGCTGAAACAGGATCTAAAACAACTGAAAATGCCACAATCAGTTGTATACAGTTATGCAGGATAATGCAGACCAAACACATTACAAAATATATTACCATTACCACCCAAAAGACAAACATCTTTTACTGAAAAGATTTCATCTCACAAGAAGCACAGCTATTCACTTAGGTCCAGGAGGCCAACATCAACGTAAGTTATTATTAGCCTTAATAAAATGGGAGGTGCAGTAGTTTGGGAGGTAGTGCAAAAGAATGAAACATAGAAAAGAGCAAGATGAGTGACAGTAAGTCTAAACAAAGAAAGATTGCATGTCACATAGGAAGGATAATATGGAGGAAGCATTTGTATTTAAGTAACTGGAACCTAAACCTACATCTTCATTTCATTTTGCACAAATGTAGTGTGAACTAGTTTTCACACTCACAGGTGTTGCACAAAGTATTGTACAGCACTTACTATACAGTACTCAGTGAAACAACAGTCAAGCACTTTATCAAGGGTCTTCTGACAGTCAAGGAAATGCAGTCTGCTCTCCTTACCATCTGTGCTATCAGAAATCAGTAGCCTGGTGAGGCATGATTTTCCCTTCTCTAAACTTAATACTGTTGGTTCATGGTAAAGCTTATACTTTTAATTCTATCATTCAATTATTTAGGATCTTCTCCAGTATTTTATAGTGTGTGTATGTCAGGTAAGCTGATTTGTGGTTGAGGAATTTTTTTTTTCCTCTCCCCAATCTTGAATACTGTTACTATTGTACGTACATTCAATAAATTTCTAGGTGTGTTCTCTCTCATCTCTGAAGTAGTGTTGCTTAGGGTATCTGCCCATTGTTGAGTATCCATAAGGACATTTTATTTAGAACTATTACTCTCCTTATCAAGTAAAGTCCGCCCATTGAGTGCTACCACATTTCCTGTGACAAAGGAAGCAGAAGCCGCTTTCCATACTCTCAAATAGGACATTGAAAACTCAGTAGTTCAAGCCATTGATGAGTCCCTACCATTCGAAGTGGAAACGGATGCATCTGACATTGCCATTGCTGCAGTCTTCTCTCAGGCAGGACGACCAGTAGCCTTCTTTTCGAGAACTTTTCAAGGATCAGAGAAATGTTATGGTAAGAGAAAGAGTCGTCTCAGCAGGAGATGAGCAATTTGAGGAAGAGCAGTAACAGCAGCATGCTGGTTCAGTTTTTCTATACCTCTTCTATATTCATCAATATGTACTTCAGTGTCACTTGAGGTTAGGTGTCTTCCATTTTCAAGAAGGGTTTGTGCTAAGATATAAATACCCTTTTAATTTTGTCCAAGTTTTTCAGGTACTTTACTGTCACTACATGTCCACCAGGCACTCTGTCATCAGACAATGATCACTCACACCTGGTAAAGTTGATATTCTAGTTCCTTAATGTCTCATAGTCCTAGAGTGACAGTGGCAGAGGGAAGAACAGGATTATGGAGAATGGAAGAGAATTACACAATGGAAAAGTAGGAGGATTTCAGAGAAGAAAAAGGTGGGAGGAACAGCAATAGTAGCAACAGAAAGAAAAGACCCATGGTAAGAGAAAGAGTCGTCTCAGCAGGAGATGAGCAATTTGAGGAAGAGCAGTAACAGCAGCAATAATAACAGCAGCAGCAGCGGCAGGAGAACAGTAGCATGAATAGAAACAGGAATACAAGCAGAGATACGAGGAAGAAAGCAAAATTACCCACTATATCATCTGGTAAGTACATAAATACAAACATACCTCTACCAACATGTTGCACCACTGCTTAAACAATTTTGAATAAATTACACAAGAAAGTGCAACAGTAGAAGCATAACTTATCAAACTAAAACAGTGCCAACTTATGTGGTATGTGTAAACCTACCTGGTGACTGAGGAGTGGCAGACACTGACAACTTTTCTACCTTCTCCACCATACCATCTTCCTCCACCAAAGGCTGCTGATCAATTACATCAGCTTCACCATCTTCCTGCGGCTCTTTGGGAGGAGAGCGACGTTCAGGAGATGTGGCTGGAGTAGGGGCTATTGACCCCTGGAGACTTCTGTTAACAAAAATATAACTTTACTTGAAGTCAATACAGAATAATGAGCATACATAGTTACTTTGCACAAGGATAAATGAATGAATATGAATTATAGGATTGGTGAAAACAACAAATATAGAGGAGCCCTGCATTTCTCTCTCTTTTACAAATGTTGGCAAGCTGCCACTATCTAAACACTTACAGGATTTGTAGGTAAATGTTTCAGAGAACTGACAACCTGATAAATGAGACACTTATGCAAACACAGTGTCTCATTCATCAACTTGTCAGTTCTCTGAACCATTTATCTACAATTCCTGTCAGACACAGCAACATCTTGCAATGCTGATACAGGGAATTCTATGCTTGTCTAACCTACAGGCATGACCTATTTCTACCTGTGGATTTTTCCATGGTGATACTGCCTGCAACTGCTTTACCTCACCTGTCTGCAGTATATAAGCCCCTCTTTCTGTGTACATGGTCTGATTGGTGAAATATTTCCACAATACAGATACTGAAGTGTTGCACAAGTGTCTTATTCATCAACCTATAGGATTGTAAAGTGTATAGCATAATTATTTTGAAATAGTTAAAGTAGAATTAAGGAGAAACAGGTGGATTTAAGAAGGAAAGGGAATGTGTGGATAAAGTGTTTACAATAAAACACAAAAGCAAACAAAACCTAGATAAGAGCAAAGAGGTACTTGTTGCATGAATGGAGTTGGAAACCACAGACTAGGCTCAATAGGAAGTGATGCTGCATGTGTTGCAAATGTATAGATAAGATAAATGTAAGATAACCTACAATTACTTTCCCCGTAAAATTGGACCTTAGACAGGGATGTGTATTGCCACTATGGTGGTTTGTATTTACAAACAGGGCTGTAAAAGCAAACACTAGTGTGATGGAAAAAAGACACAGGCTTAACAGATAATGAATCTGTCAAAGTGACAACTGCCTTTAACTAACTATACAATGAATTTTGAGAGATTTGGAAAAGAAAATGAAAATGTTGGAGGAGTAGTTTGGGAGGAAGTGCAAAAGAATGAAACATAGAAAAGAGCAAGGAGATGAGTGAGAGCAAGTCTAAGCAAAGACTGCATGTCAGACAGAAAGAAAAATATAGGGAGAGCATATGTATTTAAATAATTGGGAGTGAATGTATTAGTCTATGAAAGATAAAATGACCCTGAGAGCAGATGACGGAAAAAAGTTAAGTGTTGAGGCATCTGCATACAGAAAAATTACCAAAGGATATGAACAGGAAAATGTACAAGAGTACATACAATGATGCCAAAACTTTTGTAGGATTGCAAGGCATAGTCTATAAATGTTGCAGCAATGAAAGGGGAGGAGGAGAGAGGAGGAGGAAGGAGGAGGAGGAGGAAGGAGGAAGAGGAAGAGGAAGGAGGAGGAGGAAGGAGGAGGAAGGAGGAGGAAGGAGGAGGAAGGAGGAGGAAGGAGGGAGAAGGAGGAGGAGGAGGAGAGAGGAAGGAGGGAGGAAGGAGGAGGAAGGAGGAGGGAGGAGGAGGAGGAAGAGGAGGAGGAGGAAGGAGGAGGAAGGAGGAGGAAGGAGGAGGAAGGAGAGGAAGGAGTGAGGAAGGAGGAGGAAGGAGGAGGGAGGAAGGAGGAGGAAGGAGGAGAGAGGAGGGGGAGGAGGAAGAGGGAGGAGGAAGGAGGAGGAGGGAGGAGGAAGAGGGAGGAGGAAGAGGGAGGAGGAAGGAGGAGGGAGATGCAATATGAATGTAACAGGAATAAGAAAAAAAACTGATATACCTAAAGAAGAGGACCCTTCTTTTTAGTGTTCCACATTTTCACTGGCTTTCAAGTAAGCCAATGTTCATTGTGTTTGGTGTTTTTTATCACTTTTCCACACAACAGTTGTGTAAGGGAAGGGTGGCCAGTGCTATATTTTAAGGTAAGTATTGTATGTACTCTATTTTACCTTATCTTGTTTTTTATGCTTAGCTGTATGTATTAATTACCTAATGTATGATAGTGTAAACACATTATCAGGCATTTTAGACATTTGATAATTAAAAACACTTTTCCATCTGCCAGCAATTTTCACTTATCACACGGGGGTCAGGAACCTAAGATCTATACAAACAGGGCCCTCCTGTATACCCTTAACTTCATTTCAGTCAAAACAATATACCAATTCTTTTAAAATTAGATACATTAACTTTAAACTATTAAACTTTAAACTATAGAGTGTGAGCAGGGTAATATTTAGTGAAGGGATTCAGGGAAAACCGGTTATTTTCATATAGTCGGACTTGAGTCCTGGAAATGGGAAGTACAGTGCCTGCACTTTAAAGGAGGGGTTTGGGATATTGGCAGTTTGGAGGGATATGTTGTGTATCTTTATATGTATATGCTTCTAAACTGTTGTATTCTAAGCACCTCTGCAAAAACAGTGATTATGTGTGGAGTGAGGTGAAAGTGTTGAACGATGATGAAAGTATTTCTTTTTGGGGATTTTCTTTCTTTTTTGGGTCACCTGCCTCGGTGGGAGACGGCCGACTTGTTGGAAAAAAAAAAAAAACTTTAAACTAATTTTATTTAATTGTATAACTAATAGCAATCAATCGTACTTACACATGTCCATCCACCAGGTTCAATGCTGTTCTTGTAACTAAGAGGCTGTGAACCAGTGGCAGTGTGTGGGAGTGTATGGAGTGCGTGGAGGAGACCCAGCCCATGGAGTACGTAATGGAGAGCCTGTATTTGATGGAGTTCGAGACGCAGAGTACGAAGTAGGGGTTTGAGAAAATGGAGATTCTCCACCAGAAGTCTGCCCTCGCATCCACTAGAAGATAGTGTATACTTTATATGACACCTCTAGAAAATGCTACCAGAATTTTTTTTTATTTTTATTAACACACTGGCTACCAGAATATTAACACACTGGCTACCAGAAAATTCAGAAGAATTGAAAATAATTTTTTTTTTTTTACAACAGCCTTTTTCACCAGGGTAAGGCATCTCAAAAAAGGAAACATTCACTAGCACTCATTCAATAGCATCATTAGTAAGTAAGTACAGACATACTCACTAATACAGCACGTGTTGACTGCTGATGTAAAAAAAAAAAAAAAAATTTACTCCAAAAGCGAGGCCTGAAATAATACCCCTCCCCAATCTTTATGCCTGGGGCTATGCAAAATCTGATTATCCGAGAGAAATTATCCTCTTCCTCCTCATACGGTTGAGGTTGTCTTATTAACAGTAATATATGTTAACTCTTACCATACATTTGCACATAACAAGTAACAGCAACCAGATGTGTTTTTTCCTTTAGGCTTAGAGCTCCAAGGAACACAACCCTATTTTCCCTGCATTCTTCACTTTGAATAATGCTAATTTGAATATAGAGCCATTATTCTGGAATGTAACACCAGCATTAGTTGAGGGTCTACTGTATGTTAGTTTAGTATACTGTTGCAAGTTCCTATACATTTGGTACGATTTGGCAAGGAAAAGTGGCTTATTTTTACATCGTCGACACAGACAATGTCTCTCAACTGATACCCTGGCTACATCCAACTCTGCCAGAAGGCCTACATTAACACACTCCCTCTCACTCTTTAAATGCTTTAAGTATACAGTAATGGCAACAGAATGTAAGGCAGGACAAACTAGTAATTTTTACCTAGTACAACACTGAAAAAAAGTATTTTGGCATATGTGATGTCCCATACTTCATTTCACGAAAGCATAATTTTCACAGGACACTGATTCTCAGGAATGTATCCCACTTGTTATTAAAGGGTTTACTGTACTAAATATATTAATACTACTTTAGTTCCTTTTGCCAGTTTCAAGAAGATTTATGTCATGAAAAGTCGCACAAGATAATACTAAAACAAAAATATAATTTGAATAGTACATCAAGAGTTGTTGGTATCGAGGAGAGAGGCAAGCAGTTGGAGTGTGGCGATCAGGCGGCCATGAAGGATATCAACCCTGAAAACCACAAGCTTATTTTAATAGATAAGAAATGCACATATACAGATATATTAAATGATTTATCAAAAATAAGTCTTGCTTTATCGAGTTGCAAACAAGTGAAACAGGATAAAAATAGAAAACGCACATGCTAGTAGGCTGCCGAGATGCATTACTTGGTCGACCAGCAGAGTGAGAATAATTGCATGAAGAAGGACGCCGGGATGCAGTAGGTGACTGGCTGCGGTCTGGAGATACAGCACGAGGACTACGGCTCACAAATGTTAAAGCCGCCTCTTCAGAAGCAACTTGAAAGAAAAATCTCCATTACCAAAGACATATCCTATATGCAATGATGTTATTTTTTTTTAACACATCAGCCATTTCCCACCAAGGCAGGGTGACCCAAAAAAGAAAAACCTCCATCATAATTCAATCCATCACTGTCTTGCCAAAGGCATGCTTACACTAGTTATAAAACTGCAACATTAACACACCTTCAGAGTGACGGCACTGTACTTCCCATCTCCAGGAATCAAGTCTGGAGCAGGTGGTTTCCTTGAATTCCTTCATAAATGTTACCTTGCTTACACTCCAACAGCACATCAAGTCCTAAAAACCATTTGTCTCCATTTGCTCCTATCTAACACGCTCATGCACGCTTGATGGAAGTCCAAGCCCCTCTCACACAAAACTTCCTTTACCCCTTCCCTCCAACCTTTCCTAAGCTGACCCCTACCCTGCCTTCCCTCTACTACAGATTTATACACTCTCGAAGTAATTCTATTTCATTCCATCCTTTCTACATGTCCAAACCATCTCAATAACCCCTCCTCAGCCCTCTGGATAATAGTTTGGTAATCCCGCACCTCCTCCTGATCTCCAAACTAGGGATTCTCTGCATTATATTCATACCACACACTGCTCTCAGACATGACATCTCCACTGCTTCCAGCCTTCTTGTTGCAACATTCACCACCTATGCCTCACACCCATATAAGAGCGTTGGTATAACTACTTTCATACATTCCCTTCCTTGCTTTCATGGATAAAGTTCTTTGTC